CTTTGTGCACGAGTTGGCTTAAATTTAGGCTTTTTAATGCCTTCGCTAATCGATGATGTTTGTAGACATACAAACATATGTACATATAAACATATGTACATATAAACATATGTATTCCTGGGGGTGGAAATTGTCAAACACATGTCCCCCGTGGAGACAAAGGTGTATAAAAAGCCAACAAACACCGGGTTATTATTACATTATCAAAGTCATGTCGATGTGCAATATAAACAGTCACTGAACTGAGACATGATTGATCAGCGCAGTTATACACACAACTTAAGCAGTTGTGAAATTAAAGCCTGAAAATAATTTAGGCTTGAACGAGATTCGAACCCATGACCTCTGCGATACCAGTGCAGTGCCCTACCAACTGAGCTATCAAGCCATGGCAACTAGGAGCTGGTCACTTTGTGAGTTCGTAATATACCCGTAAATGGTGAAGATACAAGTGAATATATGAAATATCATATATTTGAACTGCGGAGAAAGATGTGAAGACATGATTGATCATCCCAGTTATATACCAACTTAAGCAGTTGTGAAATTAAAGCCTGTATATATAACTGGGATGATCAATCATGTCTCCATATCTTTCTCCGCCATTCAAATATATGATCTTTCCTATTGTATTATTCACCACCAACAGGTATATTTCAACTCACAAAGTAACCAGCCATAAATCAACCAATAAGATCGCGCGTTAGACTTATTTAAACTCTAGCTACAACAATTCATTTCGTATCATTTTCATCACCAGAAGCTCACCATTTACTGTTAATCTGACCACTTTCCGTGAATATCCCAGGATGTTTGTTGCTGAACACTGATACAAGCCTGCGTCACTTACGGTCACGTGTTTTAACTGCAACTTTCCTCCAGAAACCGCTGATTGAGTGATTTCTGACTGACTGTTCAGTTGACTCCACACTAATGCAGGCTCAGGATTACCGCTGGCTGAACACTGAAACGAGGCTGATCCACCTTCGTTCACTGTTAACGTCACAGGAGAAACAACAGCAGCAGGTGCTGAAACCGATTCGCCGGGCTCGCCTTTGCTTCCCGGCATGCCTGCGGGTCCTATCTCTCCTTTCTCACCTTTGATTCCAGGCTCTCCCTTTATCCCCGCAGGTCCCATAATGCCTCGCTTGCCTCTCTTTCCTGGCGATCCCATAATGCCTTGATCTCCCTTGTTTCCAGTTCTTCCTCTGTGTCCCCTTTCTCCCCGGGCTCCTTTTGTCCCAGGTGGACCGGGAGGGCCTGGAGGACCTGATGAGCACGTGACACCTTTGGACTGACAGAGGTACAATCTCCCGGATGATAAGATTTTGTTGATTTTGAGCATCGTTTCCGCTGTGCTGTCAGTTGCTGACGCGTTCTTAGTTGATACAACTTGACGTCCGCTTTTATGGAGTGCTCGAGTTTCTACCAACAAAACGGAAATAGTACTTCAGTGAATGAAATAAATCCTACATTTTAAAGTCACCAAGAGGAGAGAGAAAACTATTTCTTTTTCAGGTTAATGGCTTTCAATCCTCCAAAGCAGGCACTTTCTCCTGTTTGTTTTAAACTACTGACACGACCGGGAGATTTCAAAATTGGTGTAATATTACATTACACATTTTTAAAACACTTTTCATTTCGATACAAGCTACGCGTATGTAATGAACCTGTTGACAAAAATCAGTCACGAACTTTTGCCAGTTTTGTTGGGCTAAAGTTTGTTCCTGATCGTTTGTTCATATTTGATATGATTAAAGGCATTATTGTGCGAATTTTTGTTTTCTTCTGAAAATGTCTGCATTTGACTTGAAAGAACTTGACCTGTCAACCTCTGGGTTTGTTTGCCACAGCACACAGGAGGCAGTGAGAAGTGCGACAACACGCAATCAGGCTATATTTGTTCGGCACTTTTTGAATAATATTTAGTCGCTTTTAAAATTCCATCACGACCAAGTTGTGGTTGCAGAAACATAATGGTAACTCCTAGATCGTACTTTATTAAGACCAACTTACCAGGAGCATTCTTGATTTTCATGTCTGCGTCGTTTGACTTCGGCTTGGCCTCTGCAACGTTTTCAAGAGCGTTTATTCTGTTCCTCTGCTCGTTCATCTCAAGTTCTACTCTTCTAAACCCAACGCAGCAAAACACAATAGACAAAACAGAAATGATGGAAGAAAACGAAGGCAATGTCTGCTTTTGAACGGCAGCCATTTTGGTCGGTGATTTGAACAATCTGGAATTCTGCTTTAGCTCGTTACGTAATACTGAGATCACGAGATCACGAGTATACACTGTAAAGTGCCAAGATTTCTGCTGTTTACATACCATAAGCTCAAATTCGTTTACGATTTGAAATGCTATTGATTTTCAGTGTGGTATTTTAGTATGTGTTGAAAGAGTCAGAATTTTCTAGATTAAACTGAGCTGTCAGCATTTCCGGAGTACACCATCACATAAGAAGTACATCTACAGACAAAAACTTCACATTACCCGAGTTTAAGCAGAAAGTCAACAGGAATTTTGGATCGTTTTTAATGGCGATTGTGAACCAGTCCAAATTCCACGTAGAATGAGTTTCTTCGCGCAAAGCGTCAATTCTAAACCCACTCACAAGGAGAACAAAGTTCATATCCGTCCTGGCGCATTCTAAAATTAGTTGCTTTTAGGAATTCGACATGCTAAACATGTAAGAAGTCATTATTTTGATTTCGTTTCCATGGTTGCGACTTTCCGAAACACAGAGTTAAAACATTCCACTTTATCTTCTTGCTCTTATTGTTGAAAATTGTTGGTCGGGAGTGATAAAATGTGAGGGGACTGGGTGGCTCCCACAGGTGCTGATTTTTGGCACATTAACTTATCACGCATGTTTCAAATACGCTTATTTTAACCAGAATCATGCGTCACGCAGAGCGGTCCGCCGTAGCCCTGCCTACAATGTCGGGGGCGTGCGCGAGCGCGGGAAAAATAAAGTCATACTCGACCGACTGCCAAGAGAGGGGTTGCTCCAAGTCGAGTTGATGCAGCACAGATTTCAGAAACTAATCGCCTCTATAAGAGGCAAAATACACATTCTTTCCAAGATTTTTTTCAACTGTTTTGAAGTAGACAGAAATACAAGTGTTTCTCTTCGTAAGGGCGAAATGGACAGTTTTCCTTAAAAAAA